AGAAACAAAGCGCCTTGACAAAGGAATTAGCATATAATTTAGCATTGAAATGGCCGAGTGATTAGCTTGTGACTGGTCACAGAAATGGCTATGTTAAAGTTAAAGCATACACATCCGCAGAGGCACCCCTTGACAAAGGAATTAGCATAGAATTTAGCATTGAAATAGCTAAGTTAAAGCATACACATCCGCAGAGGCACCCCTTGACAAAGGAATTAGCATAGAATTTAGCATTGAAATAGCTAAGTTAAAGCATACACATCCGCAGAGGCACTCCTTGACAAAGGAATTAGCATAGAATTTAGCATTGAAATAGCTGAATGATTAGCTTGTAACTGGTCACAGAAATAGCTATGTTTAAAGTCAGAGCATACACATTCACCGAGGCACCTAGTACAAATCAAACAGGAGAATTTAGCATTGAAATAACTAGGCGAATTTGGCATTGAAATAACTGAGTGATTAGCTAGTGACTGGTCACAGAAATGGCTATGTTGAAATCAAGGTCTACACATCTGAGCTATTCACAGTAACTGGGTATACAATACAATGTATAATGAATACAATATAGTGAACCAATAAAAAACTAAAATATAAATTACCTTCATGTTATCAATAAACTCTATATTCTCCAATCAGCTAAGCTACCAACAATAAGTCGTTATATATCACAATGCTATATGGCGAAAAAATGGGTGGATTCTTAGAATATTATTGTGTTATTTCATTTTATCAATTTATTATTTTATTCTCATTCTACGTGACTTTTCCGAAAGAACCAAAAGAAGATGAATCCTTGCAGTCACGAAAGCTTTAAATCGAAAATACAACAGGCTAATTTTTAAGTTGATAATTTTGTATGGCCCGCGAATGATGTTTTATAAATATCCAAATGGCCCTTGGCAGAAAAAAATGTTCCCCACCCCTGATCTAGACGATGATGATGATGATTTTAAAGTGCGCCTTTGTTCCGATGGGCAGCCAAGAGCTGCTGCTGCTGCGAAGATGACCGGAGGAGTTTGCGTGGTGGTGTTTGTTATCCTCCCTGACGACATCTGCCGTGTGGCTGCTGCTGCTGCTGTGTGATCCCAGCTGAGTGATTTGCAGACAATGTGTGAATGTTGAACTTCGTTCGCACCGTACGTAGCCAACTGTGCTAATAGGACGCTTTAATCAACAGGGGGTCCGGCCAACCCCAGCACCATTGTGCGACTTTGTTTGGCTGTTGTGAAGAGCAACGGGCTGAGACCTTCGGCCACGCAGACGTCTCAGGGCCTGTCCCTCGTCGTCGTGAAGGTCCTCAATGCTCGTGAGCAGAGGGTCAGGGACCACGAAAACACAAAGAATATCAAAAATCGCAGGCCTCTTGATGGTACTGTAGGCTTTGATCAGGTCAATGAAGCAGAGCTTTGGGCCCTGTTAAAATTCCCTAAAACCTCTGCTGAAATGTATTATTGATGGCGATGGTAAACATCTCATTGCTTTGCTTACAACGATGGATAGACCACGGATGATGATGATGCTGTTGATGCTGATAGTGGATATCACATTGATCGTCATCCCCAAGTCGATAGGTCATAGCTGATGAGTGATGCTGCTGCTGCAGCTGGCAGAGATGATGGTGCGTGGGAGTGATGGTGGAGCGAGCGAGGAGTGAGTGAGTGGTGAGTGAGTGTGTGAGTGGTGAGGAGTGAGTGGTGAGTGAGGAGTGAGTGGTGAGTGAGTGGTGAGGAGTGAGTGGTGAGTGAGTAGTGAGTGTGTGTGAGTGATTGAGGAGTGAGTGGTGAGTGAGTGACCTCTCGGCCATAGACGCAGCTGTATGAGTGACCAGGTCAGGGTGTGAGGGAGGAGTGAGGGAGGAGTGAGCCAGGAGCGAGTCAGGAGTGAGTGATGAGTGAGGGAAAAATGAGTGAGGGAGGAGTGAGTGAGGAGTGAGTGAGTGGGGAGTGAGTGAGTGAGTGAGGAGTGAGTGAGGAGTGAGTGAAGAATGAGTGAGGAGTGAGTGAGGAGTGAGTGAAGAGTTAGTGAAGAATGAGTGAGTGAGGATTGAGGAGTGAGTGAGTGAGTGAGGAGTGAGCCAGGAGCGAGTGAAGAGTGAGGGGAAAATGAGTGAGGGAGGAGTGAGGAGTGAGTGAGTGAGGAATGAGTGAGGAATGAGTGAGGCGTGAGTGAGGAGTGAGTGAGGGGTGAGTGAAGGATGAGTGAGGAATGAGTGAGGAATGAGTGAGGCGTGAGTGAGGAGTGAGTGAGGGGTGAGTGAAGGATGAGTGAGGAATGAGTGATGAATGAGTGAGGAGTAAGTGAGTGAGGAGTGAGTGAAGAATGAGTGAGGAATGAGTGATAAGTGAGTGAGGAGTGAGTGAGGAGTGAGTGAGGAGTGAGTGAGGAGTGAGGAATGAATGAGTTAGGAGTGAGTGAGGAATGAGTGAGTAATTAATGAGTGAGGAGTGAGGAATGAGTGAGGAGTGAGTGAGGAGTGAGGAATGAATGAGTGAGGAGTGAGTGAGGAATGAGTGAGGAATGAATGAGTGAGGAGTGAGGAATGAGTGAGGAGTGAGTGAGGAGTGAGTGAATGAGTGAGTGAGGAGTGAGTGGGGAGTAAGCCAGGAGCGAGTGAAGAGTGAGGAGAAAATGAGTGAGGGAGGAGTGAGGAATGAGTGAGTGAATGAGTGAGGAGTGAGTGAGTGAGTGAGGAGTGAGTGAGGAGTGAGTGAGGAGTGAGTGAGGAATGAGTGAGTAGTGAGTGAGGAGTGAGTGAGGAGTGAGTGAGGAGTGAGTGAGGAATGAGTGAGGAGTAAGTGAGGAGTGAGGAATGAATGAATGAGGAGTGAGTGAGGAGTGAGTGAGGAATGAGTGAGGAGTAAGTGAGGAGTGAGTGAGGAATGAGTGAGGAATGAGTGAGGAGATGCGAATTGACTGAGCCGGTGCCTGCGAGCGATTTCAAGGATTAGGTTTTTAAAATAATTTAATAATTTAAAAGTGAACTCAAGATCGTCTCGCGAATCTCAAAGGGCAGCAGCGGCGGCAGGCTTCACGCTCTCGACACCGGTCCCGTGCCTCCAACCCTGAGCATCACGACGCATTCATAGTCACGGCGACATTCACTCATCACGCATGCACCGTGTGAAGGCATCACCGTTAACATCATCATCGTCATCATCGATAGTCAAACATCCGTTACCGCCACCACCACCACCACCATGTCTAGCCAGCCTCATGCAGAACGATCGTCATCACCGTTAACAATTATCAGTCATCACAATCCATAACAATCACCATCAATAAGAATAATCTTCCTAATCTCTAACAGTAATCAGCTGCACTCCTACATTGATCAATAGTCACCATCACTCCTCCCACTTATTTTACACCACCACCACCAGCTTGTGTCCCCATCATCACCAACATCAACAACCAGGGCCCACAGCTAAGAGAGGGTCCTCGCCTATAACGTCCGGCATTCTCCCTGAGACGACAATCCCACGTGTGTGGAGTTCCTGGCAGTGCCATCCTGACACTGCTGATGAGACACGCAATGTCAAAACCGTTCCAGAGCTTGGCTCGTACTCGCCTGTTAAAACCATCACCGCTGTTGACATGACGCACTCACAGGAAGAATGGATGAGGTCGTGTGTGGCTGCTGGGATGCGGTAACGACGACGACCACTATGATTGTCTAGACGGGGAGAGAAGGCGGTGCATCGTCCGATGATTGGTGCCGTGGACAGAGCTTCTTCTGCTGCGCGAGCCTCATTGGGCGTCAGCGCCCTGCTGCTGCTGCGCTCTTCGTGAGCGCTCTTCAGGCGCTCGTGATCACGGCCACCCGAGACGCCGCCACCGGCGACCCGGGCCGCTCCCAGCTGCCGCGACTCCGCGCGTCGGCGGCGTTCTCGCGGAGCCTCGAGGGGCAGCGAGGGCACGGGGGGCACGGGGGGCACGGAGGGGAGGCGGCGGCGGGGGGGGCAGCGGCGCGCGGCTCTCGGCGGACGCGGTGCCAGCGGCGGTGCGAGGCGAGGTTCGCGGGGCAGCCGAACTTCTTCCCGCACTCCGGGCAGGGGTGCTCCACCAGCGCCATGCCCGAGCAGCGGTGCTGGGCCAGAGCCACGGCGGCCGGGAACGCGCAGCGACACAGCTGGCACACGAAGCCGGCACACGCCCTGCTGATGATGCTGTTGCTGTTGATGCTGCTGAGGCTGCTGCTGCTGCTGCTGATGAGGCTGCTGCTGCTGATGATGCTGTTGCTGCTGAGGCTGCTGCTGATGATGAGAGCCTCCGGTGGCGAGGCGGAACCGGGCAGCAGCAGCGGTAGCTGACCACCATCACCTCCATCACCTCCACCACCACCTCCACCATCACCTCCACCATCACCTCCACCATCACCTCCACCACCGCTCTTGCGCGCCAGCTCGCTCGCGTTGCAAGTGGTTCTGAGCGTGGCGTCTTCACCTTCATTCGCTTCTCCATGGTTCCCACCATCATTCGCGCTCTGCTCCTGCAGAGAATGGCGTCTCTTGAGTTGAGAGCGTTCGCCAGGTGATGGTGGCGATGAGACTATTACTCCTCTTGTCGGTGGTGGTGGTGGTGATGCGACTGAGGACCATGATAAGGAGTCTAATGATGCCGCTGCTCCAGCTGTCACTCCTGCTGCTGCTGGTGCTGCTGATGGTGCTGCTGATGGTGCTGCTGATGGTGCTGCTGATGGTGCTGATGTTGTCGGCTGTCTCGCTCTCTCTGTCGCGATGATGGCGAGCAGTGTGAGGCGGCAGAGTCCCGCGAACTCACCCGGGAACTCCTCTCCCTGCTCCCCGCTCGCTCCCCCCTCCTCGAAGCCCTCGTCGTCCGCGGGGAGACGGCTCCCCTGGGGCCGCGCGGGGCTGAGGCTGCCCGGCCTCGCGGGGCTCAGCGCGGGGCCCCCGCCCATGGGGGGTGGTGCGTGGGGGTGGCGACTCCAGGCGGAGCCCACGAAGCGCTTGTCTCGCTTCACAAGGAAGCCCCGGGGCATGGCGACTCGAACCTCGCCACGAGACAGTCGAGGGCCGAGCCGCCGCCGCTTTCTGTCGGCCGCCTGGACCCGCCAAGTCTCGGCCCGCGTGCTCCGCGTCTCTGCAGTCGAGTGCGCGGGGCTAGGAGGGAGCAGCACGTGGAGCACGAGGAGCACGAGGATCACGTGGAGCACGAGGAGCACGTGGAGCACGAGGAGCACGAGGATCACGTGGAGCACGTGGAGCACGTGGAGCACGTGGTGCACGAGGATCACGTGGAGCACGTGGAGCACGAGGAGCACGAGGATCACGTGGAGCACGAGGAGCACGTGGAGCACGAGGAGCACGAGGATCACGTGGAGCACGTGGAGCACGTGGAGCACGTGGTGCACGAGGATCACGTGGAGCACGTGGAGCACGAGGATCACGTGGAGCACGAGGATCACGTGGAGCACGAGGAGCACGAGGATCACGTGGAGCACGAGGAGCACGAGGATCACGAGGATCACGTGGAGCACGTGGAGCACGAGGATCACGTGGAGCACGAGGAGCACGAGGATCACGAGGATCACGTGGAGCACGTGGAGCACGAGGATCACGTGGAGCACGAGGAGCACGAGGATCACGAGGATCACGTGGAGCACGAGGATCACGAGGATCACGTGGATCACGAGGAGCACGTGGAGCACGAGGATCACGTGGAGCACGAGGATCACGAGGAGCACGAGGATCACGAGGATCACGAGGAGCACGAGGATCACGAGGAGCACGAGGATCACGTGGAACACGAGGAGCACGTGGAGCACGTGGAGCACGAGGATCACGAGGATCACGAGGATCACGTGGAGCACGAAGATCACGTGGAGCTCGTGGAGCACGTGGTGCACGAGGATCACGTGGAGCACGAGGATCACGTGGGGGCACGAGGAGTGATCCCTGGGCACGGCGCGACCGCTGCTTTTGAAGGCGGCAGGGCGTGAGGGGCGGGGGGCGGAGGCAGCGGGGAGGGGGGCGGCGGCGCCAATCAGAGCGCGAGGAGCAGAGAGCAGATGTCGGGGTCTGGGTGAGGCCCCCGGGGGCACGAGACGAAGACACCAAACACTGACGAGTACACACACACATACACACATACATACACATACACACACTCACATACACACATACACACATTCACACACTCACATACACACACATACATACACACATTCACACACTCACATACACACACATACACACGTACATACACACACTCACATTCACATACTCACATACACACATTCACACACTCACATACACACACACATTCACACACTCACATACACACACATACACACATACATACACACATACACACACATACATACACACATTCACACACTCACATACACACACTCACATTCACACATACACACATACATACACATTCACACATTCACACACTCACATACACACATTCACACACTCACATACACACATACACAAATACATACACATACATACACACATACACATACACACATTCACACACTCACATACACACACATACACACATACATACACACACATTCACATACAACAACAACCGCCATTCGCCACTAAGTGGCGGTGACGTCACCACGACGCTTGTGCCAGGCTATGTGCACCCTGAGGCCACGTGAAGTGTCGAACACCCGCTGGCAGGAGGTCACGGGGCAGACCCAGGTGCCACGGGTCGACTGACTGAGATGACTGGCTGATGCACCACCTGTGCCCCCTACTGTGCCAACCTGCTGTGCTTTAGCCACCCGGCGCTCCGCTCATTGTTCTGAGCGTCGCTCCTCCGCCCTCCGTTGTTGTTGGAGGGCGACTGCCTCCAACTGCCCAGTAGCATCCTTCACGAGCCTCCTCCACAGAGGCCGATCTTGACACCGCTGGTACCAGTCATCGGCAAGTCCACTCAGCTCCACGTCGTCCTGTACCACATCACTCCATCTCTTCTCTAGCCCGTGCCGCGCCCGCTTAGCCCCCTCGATCCGGCCAAACAAAAGCTGTTTCGGCATGCGGTGGCTGGGCATGCGGGCTACATGACCCAGCCATCGCAGCCTTGCCTGCCAGAGGAGCTCACCGATGGGACCCTGCCCAGATCTTTCAAGGATTTGTGAGCTCCTCACACAATCCAGTCTGGTTAAACCCAGGATGGATCGTAGGCAGGCCAGCCTAAATGTTTCTAACCGGCGAAGATGTTCCATTAGGGGGGTCCACGTTTCGCAAGCGTAGAGAAGGGAGGGAATGACCGTGGCCGAGAAGACCTGAAGCTTAGTGCGGAGCGACAGACCAGGTAGCTTCCACACAGCGTTACGCAACCGATGAAAAGATATTGCCGCTCGACTGATTCGGAGTGAGACCTCTGCTGTTAAACTGGAGCCAGTCATAAGCACACTGCCCAGGTATGGGAAACTCTCCACTCTCTCCACAACTGCCCCATCACCGATTGGGAGTTGTGGGGGTGGATTGTCCGATGGTACAAAATACCCAGGCAGGTGCTTAGTTTTGGTGGGGCTGATGGTAAGGCCCCACCTCTTAGTGGCACGCTCCAGTCTCAGCAGCAGCGTCTCCAACTCCTCCTCTGACTGAGCAGCTATTACCAAATCATCAGCATACATAACGTGGTTGAGCAATAGGGAGCCATCCCTTGACCGCACCCGGGCATCGATTAGCCTCCCATTATATCTGTACTATATGGAGATTCCCCCGGTACAGCTATTGAAGGCTTCACGAACTACGTGGTCAAAATAGATGTTAAATAATGTGGGAGCCAGAGGACATCCCTGTCGCACCCCAAGGTGTACAGGGAATATCTCTGACTCCCGGCCACGTAGTTTTACCCGGGCCCGCTCACCATCATGAAGGTCCTTAATGATCGTGAGCAGAGGGTCAGGTACTCCAAAAGCACGAAGAACGACCCAGAGCCCAGGCCTACTGATGGTATCATAGGCCTTGACCAGGTCAATAAAGCAGAGATGTAGGTCTTGTTGGAATTCCCTACACCTCTGCTGTAGCAGACGGACAGAAAATATGGCATCTGTGCAGGACCGCCCTTTCCTGAAACCGCATTGGCGCTCCGCAAGCCTCTCCTCAGCGTGCCTGGCAAGGCGATGCTGAATAATCCTTGCCAGGACCTTTCCCGGCACACTGAGGAGTGAGATGCCCCTGTAGTTGTTACAGTCTGTGCGGTCCCCCTTCTTAAAAAGGGGGACCACCAGGGCATCCTTCCAATCCTGCGGAACCCGTCCAGTGGTCCAGACTGTTGTTATGATGTCAAATAGGGCAGTCTGTGCACAAACGCCACCCTCTCTCAGCATTTCGCTTGGGAGATCATCTCTGCCCGCTGCCTTTCCTGGTCTCAGACTCCGGATCGCCTTCAAAACTTCCTCAGCAGATGGCACCTCAGCCAGCCACTCACAGGGGGTGACTTCTTCCAATATTTGAGGCACCGCAGCCTCAGCAGGGTCATCCTCACTTTGTGCCACGATGTTTTCCTGGCTGAGGGATTTTCCCTCCCCCCAGGACCTCACAGAAATGCTCAGCAAATCTGCGAACCTGTTCCTGGGGGTCGGAGATTGGATCACCGTTTTTTCCCCTAATGATGGTAATAGGTGTGGCGCTGCAGGTTACTTTTTTGATGGAGTTAAATAGAGATTTGTGATCACGGGCCACTGAGGCAGACTCCATCTCCTCAGCAACCCGCGACCACCACCCATTCTTGCAGCGCCTCACGGCTCTCCGAACCTCTGAGCGAAGTCTGCGGTAAGCCTCCTCATTCTCTGACGTGGGATTCTGTAGCCGATGACAGTGGGCCTGTCGCTTTTTCTCAACCATCCTGAACACCTCCTCTGACAGCCAGGGTCTCTGGGGAGGTCTGGACCGCGTACCCAAAGCAGCCATTGCAGCTGCATGAGTCACAGTCCTAGACCTCGCCCATTTACCCTCGACATCAGGAGGAGTCGGGGACGATGCCAATCCCAGCCGCAAGCGATGTTGAAATTCTCGCTTACAACTTTCATCAGATAACTGAGACCAGGCCACTTTATGTTGGAATGGGGTCCTTGGTGTACACCCACCACCAGAGTGGAAGAATGGCAGGCGCATCTTACAGATGACTAGTCGATGGTCAGAGGGCAGATCAGCTCCACGGTAGGTCCTGGTGTCAAGGACATGGGCTCGCATTCGCTGGTCCGTCACTATGTAGTCCAGCAGATGCTCTTGCTTGGACCCGGCATGGATCCATGATGTTGTGTGGATGCGCCGATGCCGGAACAGCGTGTTGGTAATTACAAGCCCATGGGCTGCACAAAAATTTAGTAGCCTCCTACCGTTGTTATTGAGCTGATCTGGCCCATGCCCTCCAATCACTCCAGACCAGGTGCCAGTATCATGACCAACTCAGGCATTGAAGTCACCCAACATGATGACTCTATCCCGAGGGGCCACTTTAGCCAGCACCTGTGACAGGAGGTCATAGAAGGCATCTGACTCATCGGCTTTGCCTGCATCCCTCCACGGATGTTCATCTTCGGTGGGGGCATAAGTAACCACGACCACCATTCCCCGCCTCCGGTTGATGGGAAGGCGAGCCCAAAGTAGCCTGGGGCTTACAGCTTCCCACACCTCACCGCCACGCTCCCACGCCTCCTTCATTCTTTTGTTCAAAAGAAGACCCACACTCTGTTGTTTGGCAGTCTGCTGCCCCGAGGAGAGGACTGTCCACCCCTCATGGTGGCAGGAGCCAGAGCCGGTCCACCGGACCTCCTGAATGCCGCATAGATCCAGACGGTACCGGTCCAGCTCCCGACAGAGGAGTGGCAGCCTCTCCTCTGCAGTGAGCGTTCGAACATTCCCCGTGGCCATCCGTAGTGGCTTTTTATTGTTTCTGGAGGAGCCCCGAGGGTAGAGATTCAATCTCCTGGCTCCGCCAATTGGGGTTTGGCCAGGAGACGTCATAGACGCCTGTCCACCTGGGGCCTCCGGCACAAGCTTATTAGTTACATATTTCAGTCATAGTTTAGTGGTAATTAATTGAAGGTGGAGGGCTTACCAGCCCCTCGCACCCATCCAGAGCCCCCGTTTAGCAACTGTGGTTATCACAGACGCCATGAGGGGAGGAGCCAATCGGAATTGGACCTCCCCCCACAGCACTGTCCACGACAGAGTTGCCTGTCCAGCACCGGGAGGAGGTAGGGGGTTGTTTTGCCACACTTACATACACACTTACACACACACTTACATACATACTTACACACACACTTACACACATACTTACACACACACTTACACACACACTTACACACATACTTACACACACACTTACATACACACACACACTTACATACACACACACACACACACTGACATACACACTTACACACATACTTACACACACACTTACACACATACTTACACATACACCCTTACACACACACTTACACCCACACTTACACACATACTTACACACAAATACAAAGATCCCCCGTATAGCCTTAGCAGCCTTTTGGGGAAAGTGTTCTTAGCGAGCACCTATGAAGGTTGGAACGGCACACGCGGAGGTGGGACGGCCAACACCACGCCCGACCGCCTTTGTCTCCCCAATATTTGATGTTTACACACCGCACCAGGTTGATCATGAAAGTCCGAATCAGTCGAGCGGCGTCATCTTTCATCGGCTGGTTCTGTCGCTCCACACGAATCTCCGGGTCTGCCCTGAAACAGTCGTAACCTCCCTTGATGCTTGCGACACGTGGACCCCTCGAATGGAACATGCACACTGGACTGCCCACGACCCATCCTGGCTTGAAAACCAGGCTGGATTGTGTGAGGAGCTCACAAATCTGGCTGTCGCCTGCTGAAGCTAGTTGTAATTACCGCCGAAACGTCGTACTCAGATTGTAAATGTTGTGGCTTGGCTCTCCAACACACCGGTTAGCACTGTACTAGTGACGAATTG